GCAAAATACTCTGAAAAAGGAAAAACTATTTATTGAACACTTTATATGTGTCCGCGGTGGGGATGGATGGGGGTGAGGATGTATAAAATCTCATTCATCTCAACAATGCTATAAAGTGGGTAAGGTCATCAATTTGCAGATGAGGCAACAGACTGAGTTAATGACTTGCCAAGTTCACGGAGCTGAGGAGTGAGGAATCAGGATCTGTGGGGACCCAGATCAGTCTGATCCAGGATGTTTCATTCACCATGTTTTTCTCTACCCCTAGAATTACTTCCTTTTAAACTCTGTTGCTGTTGTTGAGATGGAGTTTTGCTCTGTCACCGAGGTTGGAGTGCAGTGGCGCGATCACAGCTCACTGCAGCTTCGACTTTCCAGGCTCAATGATTCCCCCAGCTCAGCCTCCCTAATAAAGAGGTGGAACCACAGGTGTCTGCCACCATGCCCGGCTAATTGTTACTTTATTGTATTTTATTTCTGTGGAGCGGCATCTTGGTATGTTGCCAGGCTAGTCTCAAACTCCTGGCCTCAAACACTTCTCCCTCTTTGGCCTCGGAAACATGCTGGGCATGAGCCCACTCCTTTTCAATACTTTTATTCTGCTGTCACATGTTCCCTTCATCCTCAGTTATCTCTGGCCACTCCATGGCCTTCCTAGTCTCACAACCAGGCAAAATACCCTTTTGTCATGCCTCCCCCCCAACCCGGTCTAAATATCACAGTGGACCATTTCATTATCGTCCACTCTCCTCTCATTCTCCAAAGATGCCCAAATCTCTAATATTATTTTGGAAAATATTGAGGCTAACAAGGATGAATGCATTTAAATCCTATGACTACCACTGCCCCTTCCTATCTCTCAATCTCTCCATCTTTAACCTTCCATTTATTCATTGACTACATCACTCATTGTCTTGATTCTTTAATCACTACTTTTATCCTTTTCTCTCAGGCTTTACTACTATCTAACTTTTGTCTCCTGCGAACTTCCACCCTCAAGTACCTCTCAGTTAGTTCTGAACTCTCCAGTTCCAAAGGCTCCTTTCCCCTCCAAATCTCTTCTTCCCCCGATCCCATCTGTCAGTTGGCCCCATTTCTCTTGAACAACGTCAACTCCCTCTCCCTTCCCCTGGCTAACAGGTTTTCTCTCTTCCTTTACCTAGTCTATCACAACATCTAAACTCCTCAGCCTGGAATTCAAGGTTTCCCACAAACATATCTCAGCTCACTGCAACCTCCTGGGTTCATGTGATTCTCATGCCTCGGTCTCCTGAGTAGCTGGGATTACAGGTGCTGGCCAACATTCCTGGCTAATTTTTGTATTTTTAGTAAAGAAGTTGTTTTACCATGTTGGCCAACCTAGTCTTAAACTCCTGACCTCTGTGATCCACCTACCTCAGCCTCCGAAAATGCTGGGATTACAGGTGTGAGCCACTGTGCCCAGCTAACTTCTTAATTTTTCATTCTCAAACTTTCTTTCCAAATATTTACTATTGAATTTAACTGCTGAATTGAAGTTACTGTAGGTTAAGAAACATTTTTTTCTAAATTTTAGGACAACATATACCAAAGAGAATGAATAAAATTTTGTAAAGATGATATATTCATGTAACAGGACGTTAATTGGGACTTTCTCTGTTGCTCAAAGACTAAAAACAAGTATCCCACTTTCTAGGGAAAACGAAGGCTAGACACAGTGGCTCACAGCTGTAATCCAAGCACTTAGGGAGGTTGAGATGGGAGAATCATTTGAATCTAGAAGTTCAAGAATAGCGTGGACATCGCAGTGAGACTATCTCTACTAAAACTGAAAAAATAGCTGGGTGTGGTGACATGCGCCTCTAGTCCCAGCTACTAGGGAGGCTGAGACAGGAGGATCACTTGAGCCCAGGAGGTTGATGCTGCAGTGAGCTGTGATCACACCATGGCAACTCCAGCCTGAGCAGAAGAGTGAGGATGTTATCTCAAAAAAAGAAAAAATGAGAAATACACTGGGTATAAATACCCCTTCACTGTTCATGAAGAGACAGCTACCCTGAAATAATTTCTCCAGTCCACTACTCCACTTTACCCTTTACCTCATCACACAGTCCATATAAGCTGAACTGTGTATGTATGGATTTGGGATGGGAAAGAATGAGGGGACAGAGAGACAGAGAATGCATTTTCCAAAGTCATGAGAATCATTCCCGAACTCACCCCCAAGGGAAGTAAAGAGAATGTTTAAGACAATCACTTGCAAATGAAGGCACCTGCCAAGGAAATGGGAGCTATTTGAGCAGGTGGAAAGGGAGCTGGACAAGAGGGGGAGGGCCAGGCATGGTGGTGTATGCCTGTAGCCCCAGCTACTCTGAAGGCTACACTGGGGGGACTGCTAAAGCGCAGGAGTTGAAGGCTGCAGTGAGCTATGATCAAGCCACTGCCTGGGCACCAGAGCAAAATCCCATCTCTTTAAAAAAAGGAGAGCAAGGTAAGGGAAGATGGTGAAACACCTGTTTTCCCAAGATTTATGAGGTCAAGGACGAGTGTTCTTTGGCTCAAGTAGGCATCACTGAAGTAGCTGGCCTTGAGCCTTCTTGCCAGTGTCTCACCAGAGCAAACATGGGAAACAGTGTGTACTTACCATTCCATTAGGTGCTAAGGGGAATTTGGAAGGGAGTTGGAGTGAACCGGCCAATTAAGGAAATGGAATCTGTACGATTGGGAAGACCTCCTCAGCCACAGGGTCCCCCAAGAACTCATACATGCACTTTATGAAAGAGCTAGCATTGGGAAGGCTGCTACTACCCCAGGAGCAATAATCAGAGAACAGTAACAGCCAAAAACAAACAAAAATGCTTACACTAAATGTTAAATAAGTAAAAATTGCCTAGCCTTCTTGGGTTACTATTAAAGGTAGTGCTATATAAGTAACAGACACGTGTCCCTTTAACTCTCCTTACCTCTCCTCAACTCAAATTTCCTCTTCGTATAAGGACACCAGTCAGATAGAATTAAGACCTACCCTAAAGGTCTCATTAGTTAAAGTCCTTATTATGAGGTAGTGGGGGTTGGGCTTCAATTCATCCAAAGTATGAATTTTGGGGAAACACAATTCAGTCCATAACACCAGACAAGGGGGAAAATAACCATTTAAAATAACCAGAAGCCTGAGGTCATTCGTCATAATCACATAAGGTGGTTCTGAATGGTTAAGTGTGGGACAAGGAGTGACCTGGCAGGCTGAAGTGCTGCACAGAGGCCAGTTTGGGGCAGCCTAGCCAGCAAAAGGAGGGGGTTCTGAGGAATACAGAGCCTTGGTTAAGATCCGTGACTCACAGCACCACGAAAGGTTCAGCTGGAAAACGGAGTGCTTGCCTGACCAAAATTTAAATGTAAATGCACTGCCCTGTAACATAGGGCACCAGAATAGGATGCTTCTTACAGTCACAAAGAACCCTGTTTCAACAACGAACAACAATACTGGGATATCCAAGCAAATTCCACAGTTGTGAGACAAGGAAAAAATGTGTTAGGAGATAAATACGTGTAAGCTAATAAAAGGTAAAATTCAATTAAACTTTGAAGAAGGAGGTAGAGAGACAGGGAGATGAAGTATATGCAGAAAGGGTCAGTTTGTCCTCTAATGATTGGCAGTTCCAGCTGACACAGACAACTTCGCAGCCACAGGTGGGTGGAGGGGAACTGTTTGCGGGGAGGTCAGAGAAAGACCCTGGGCCAAGTTAGACTTCCTTGATTACCTGTAGATAGCGCCATAATTAAACACTGGATTCTCTGTTCCAAAGCCTGCAATTACTTAAATAGAAGTAGTTCAACTGCTCTGTCACTGCTTAGCCATATTTGAAGAAAAGTGGGCTGTTTCGTCCTACTGTACTGCTCTCCCCAATTCCTTCTCTACACATCTTATTAATCATATCTATGTCATTAGGAAATATCTGTAGATCTTTCAAAAAGGTATTCCCTAGCAGGTTCTGCCTTCAGCTACAGTATGCCATAAAAAAATTTATTCCCTTTGGGCCAGGCGCAGTGGCTCACGCCTATAATCCCAGCACTTTGGGAGGCTGAGGCAGGCGGATCACCTGAGGTCAGGAGTTCAAGACCAGCCTGGCCAACATGGTGAAAACCCATCTCTACTAAGAATACGAAAAATTGCCCAGGCATGGTGCCCGCCTGTAGTTCCAGCTACTCGGGAGGCTGAGGCAGGAGAACTGTCTGAATCTGGGAGGCAGAGGTTGCAGTGAGCCGAGATCGTGCCACTGCACTCCAGCCTTAGCAATGAGAGCGAAACTCTGTCTCAAAAAAAAAAAAAATCTATTCCCTTCAAGTGAGCTAAATCTCATAAAGAACGCTGTTCACTTCACACATTTAAAGAAAATCTTAAAGATGTATTAAAGACCCATATTTATTAACACGTATCAGAGATATTGTCAAATATTAAAAAGACATGGCTGTTTTTCCTTTAAAATTTACTTTTTTGTGAGCCTGTTCGATTTTGACCTTTTAAAAAAAAAAATCTGCTTTTAAACAACTTCCTTGAGAGCCAGTTATAGTTACTAAAATTTTGACCATGTCTGATATGCCAGTTATCCATATGGTATCTGCTGGAATTCTCACTAGGACAAAACACCATAGAGTTTACTCTTTTAATTTATAGAACCGCCTTCCTTCCTACCTTTCCCTCATCAATCTGAACAGAAGTGTAACAGACTCTGTGATCTACAAGCAAAGAAGAGGGGCCTGGGTTACTGGGAGAAAATCATTTAACATTTGAGGAGAGCAAAGTTAAAACACAATAGATGTTCCAGGACATCTAAAAAATTACACTCAGATTTCTGAGAAAGCTATGACGAAGAATTTATAAGCCATTTCTTCATGTTCTAAAAGAAGGGTAACACCCCTCCACAACAAGCAGGGTTATGGGCAAGGTCTCCATCTGCTTTATTGCAACCAGGATCTAAAAACAACCCTAACACACAGAACTCAATACATCAAGAACACACTCAACATCACCAAACAATTTATTTGGACTCAGAATTAAAAGGACATTTGACAGTTATGAATTGTATGTTTATTCTGAAACTTCTAACTAGCTGTATAACTAACCCATGACAAATTACCAGATTAATTTTACTTTATTTCTTCAGGCCGGGGGTTTATCAAAGACTTCAAATTTGGGATCTAAGAGGGAAAAAAAAGAAGGTTCAAGCTTAGCCATACTGCAATGAAATGGATTATGTAGAATGCTCAAGATTTAATTCATCAATCTTCTGATTTTTTTTAGTGAATATCTACTGTTTGTAAACATTTACGTAGAAATATAGCTAAACATTTATGCAACACTTTCTATGAGCCACGCATTCCATTAACTGACTTTGCATATATTATGTCATTTAACTACACGTGCAGAAGATACTGTGATTCTCCCCAAATATCAGATGAGAAATAGGCACCAGTTACTCAAGGTTACACAGTTGAAAGTGACTGTCAGGATTCAAGATCAGCAGTTCGATTTCAGATCCCCACCATTTAATCACTACGTTACATGATCTCCTATACTGCTCCTGTTCTAATGGCGGACAATAGCTGGCAGCTCAGGCACACGTCACAGTCCTAATAAATTCACATTTAACATTGTCATTAAATTCTCTAAAAATCCAAGAAGTGTAAATATTCTTCATTTATCCTCCACAAGAATGAATCACAGACTTACCTTCAAATGTGAAGGTGGGGAAGGTATTCATGTCTCCTTTACCAAACATTTGCTTGAGCTTAAAAAGCTCCCTCTCCAGATCTTGCTGATACTCTGGACCAGTATCAACAGGTCCTCCAGCTGTCCTGTTAAATAAATGAGCAAATAAAAATTAACGCTATCCACGAGCTTACGAAAACAAAATTACTCTTCACCATCACTTTCAATAGACCTTTTTTAAGCATTCATGTAGTCAAAAGAAAAAAAACTTCACAAAGAAGTATTTCCACTTCAATTTCAATTCCAATTCAAACTATTTTATTATGATGAGGTTTCACATAAATGAGCTAACCTCAAACAAATCTCTAACATTCAAAGTTCCTTAGTATCACAAACACTAAGTCAGATTTCTCAGGGTCTAAGTTGTGATAAGGTGTATGGTTAAGTCTATGGGCTCTGGAGTCAAAGACTAATGCCGTCTAAGTGTAAGCTCAACTATTCAGCAACTGTGTACACCTGAGCGAGGCACAGAGCACTCTAAATTTTAGTTTCTTCAACTAAAAATGAAGGACCTCCCAAACAAGGTGTTATGCACACGCACCTCCAAGCACAGTGCCTGGCACACAGTGAGTACTCAATTATTATTTACTAATATTGTCTGCTTTAAGTCAGTCACCACTAAATGGCTTTTAAAGACCTTAGTAACTTTAAGTCTCTATAATAGGGGTCCTATTAAAGAAGCAAATTATTTCCGACCCTCAGAGATTTTGCAATTTAGAAGAAAAAAAGTACATGTTCACAAACATCTATGCTGTAAAGGAGTGATGTGATGAGCTTCAGAGACATGGTTTACCAAAAAGCTACTCAAGTTGAGGAGAGATCACTTTTGCTAAGCTAATCAGGGAAATTTTCATTTTAAAAAGGTGGCATTTGAGAAATACCAGGCATTTGGGGCCACAGTTTATTTTGAGACCTTCTAAGACTGAAACAGCAAAGACGTGGAGGTGGTAAAGGACTGGCTAAACGTGGGGAATGCTAAGGAGTCTAGATGGAAAAACTAGCAGAACCCAGAGAATGGGAGGCCTGGAATGTTAAGCCTGGGAGTTTCTATTTTATTTGCTAAGTAATAAAATGGCAAATTTAGACTTGTGCATTTTGGGAAAATAAATATAGCATCATGGACCAGCAGCAGGGCCACTTGGGTCTAATTAATTCTTTGAAGAAATTCTTCTGTTTTTATCATAAATATTACTGCCTACCTAGCAATAAACAATATTCTAAACATTAAAAATGTACACGTGAAAATTCCTTCAAGGGTAGTAATATTTTCACACATGCCTATGATCAAAGTGTAGAGTCTTATGTGAGTTAAAGAACTTGCACAAAAAATACATAGGTGGCTCCAATGTAAGAACTTGTTAACAATGTTTCTTTTTTCTAATTGCATTTTAGGTTTGGGGGTACATGTGAAGAACATGCAAGACTGTTGCATAGGTACACACATGGCAGTGTGATTTGCTGCCTTCCTCCCCTTCACCTGTATCTGGCATTTCTCCCCATGCTATCTCTCCCCAACTCCCCACCGCCCCCCCGCTGTCCCTCTCCTATTCCCCCCAACAGACCCCAGTGTATAGTGCTCCCCTTCCTGTGTCCACGTGTTCTCATTGTTCAACACCCGCCTGAGTGAGAACATGCGGTATTTCATTTTCTGTTTTTGTGTCAGTTTGCTGAGAATGATGGTCTCCAGTTTCATCCATGTCCCTACAAAGGACACGAACTTGTCGTTTTTGATGGCTGCCTAATATTTCATGGTGTATATGTGCCACATTTTCCCTGTTCAGTCTATCATCGATGGGCATTTGGGTTGGTTCCAGGTCTTTGCTATTGTAAACAGTGCTGCAATGAACATTCGTGTGCATGTGTCCTTATAGTAGAACGATTTATAGTCCTTTGGGTATATACCCAGTAATGGGATTGCTTGTTAGAGACCCAATTTTCTTTTAGATTAGCACTGTTCAATAGAACATTTTGTCAAGTTAGAAATGCTGTCTGTGCTGTCCATATGGTAGCCACTAGCAGTATCTGGTGGCTACTGAGCACTAGAAATATAGCTAACATGAATGAGAAAGTGAATTTATACATACACTTATAAACTAATTAGAATTTGAATAGTCTCATGGATAATGGCACCCAAACTGAACAGTGTGGTTTGAAATAGATCCCTCAACTAGATACTCTAATACTGGTTACTAATGGATGATGGCTATTTTAACTTTAATATGCACTTTTGTGATAAAAAGAGGCCAGAAATCATCTACCTCCTCAACTGAATGTTAAGTCTTGCTGCTTCTCTTGTTTATTACTATATCCCTAGGCTCTCACATGGTGACTGGGACAAAGCAGTCACTCAGGAAACACTTGTTCATTTCACTAGCAAATACTGGGCATGCTAATGTATTGAATCATATCCTAAGAAATAGGTTAAGTACTATCATCATCCCGATTTTACATATGAGGAAACTGTCCTACAGAAGTTAAACCCGCCCAAGGTCATAGGGCTAATCAGTGGCAATGCTGGATGCCAGTCCAGGGTCTATCCTCAGAACTCTCTATGTGTGTGTTTGCACAAATGAATGAATGACCCACAAACAAGATTCCTTAGATTTAGGGTACACCTAAGAATTAACTTCTTACTAGATAGGCTTTTTAAGGACACTTAAAATGCAAACAATATCAATATTATGATGTAACATCACATTTGGACAGAAGACACTCAAAATTCCCTGACGAGTCCTGCACATCTGATTACTTGGTAGTATGATTTCTGGCAAATTCTAACTTTCAGCCCTGGTTTTCTCATAGGGTAACATCTACAGGGTTGCTGTTAGTTTCATTACCATGTCTACAAAACACATAGTAACTTACTACATGTTAATTCCTTCACTGTCTCCTCCTCAGTTTTAGCAATGATACCTTTGTCAGTTACCTCACCTCAAAAGTCAGTTTTCTTCTATTGCTCCCGCTCTTCTTCCTCTCCAGTAGCTCACCAAGACCAGTTATCAGTGTTTCAATGTCTCCTCTGTTGCTTTTACAACTTTTACATTACCACTGCTATAAAGTCGAGGTTCTCATCGACTAATGCTTAGGTTACACATTGCTAACATATCTTTGTTCTCTTCTCATTTCAATTCTTCTAATACCCTGGTTAAAATTATCCTCCCAATTCAGAGTAATCTTCTTCCATCCCCACAGTCATGTTCAAAAAGCTTTAATTTCTCACAAATGCCTACCACGTATCTTAATTGTCTAGTCTATAATCAAGGCCTTCCATAATCCTTCATTCTAACCCCATACCATCCTTACACTCTTCATATACCCTATACTCCAGGGAAACAGAATTATACCATTCACTAAATATATTTTGTGCTTTCTAGTTTTCATGTCTTAGTTCACACCATTCTTTCCTCCTAAAAGATACTCTCTTCCTACTCTCATTTATCTGTCCAACCTTCATACACTGTTAGAATCTAGAGTAAACCCCTGGGTGTATACGTCTACTGAAGGCCTATGGGCTTGAGAACCATTTCATGCTACAAGCAAAATCATGTGAGTAAATTCTTCATGTTTTTCTCTTTAAACTGAGAAGATGATCCACAGTTGTCCACGAGATTCTCAAGAGGGATGAATACCCAAACATTGCCTTCCAAGAAGCCTTCTAAAATGCCTCTAGCTGGAAGGAGAATTCTTTCCTATTAACTTCCCAAGCACTGAATGTTTCCCTATCTTAGCATCTAACTCATTTTACTGTATATTGTATTTATTTGCTTACAAGCTTTATGCTCCTATGAGACTTTAAGAATATTGTGGAAATGCCCTGTGGCCCACCACAGTTAATAGTAAAAATGCTTTACATGCAGTAGGCAACTAAATGAAAGAAAATGGAACTAGGAATTGATGCACGTCACTCTTAGTAAGACTTGGCCTTTGGACTTGAGGACGACTAAGGTAGTCATTCATCTCCAAAACTATGTGGTTCTACAACTGTTTTTCTTGGACTTACGTTTACATTACGCCATTTCAGAGTCTTTTGACCTTTAATGTGTATTCTCAGAGATCTATAACTATGGAAATAACCTTAAAAAAAAAAAAAGCTGTGTTTATACATTTCCCCCAAATTACGATGTCAAAGAAAGGCCACTAAATTGAGGGTTCAATAGACTCTGATAATACATTTTTCCTCAATTTGTTTTATGATCTTAGGCTAACCAGTATCTAAGAGATGTACTTTTAAAAAACTTAGCTGCTAAATGATTTCCAAGACTCCATGTATTTGTATGAATTGACTTAGTTTATAACATATGACATTACGGTAAGGATATATTTTAAATGGCAATAGATTCAGTAGATTTGCTCTTGTACCTCATAAAGAAGATACAGTTTACAACTTGAAAAAAATCAAGATCATTATCTTCTTTTCTGAGGGCACCAAGTGAACTTCTCTGTGTCAGAGAGGAGCTCAGTGAAGGTCTGACACTTTCAAATACCGAGTAATTTTTTATTACCCGCTTGAAACTTACATAGTTTGAATATTTATATTTATACTGTAGTTGTTCATTCACTTACTGTCGCTTAGATTTGTATTCTCTTATCTTGTCCACAAAGAGTTTCTGTATAGGATCAAGTTCCTTAAACGCCACTGCTGTAACACCAATGTTCCTCCGCAAATGGACCGAGACTGCTGACTGAATGACAGAGGAGAACCTGAAGAGTCTCTGAAGAATCATGCTGATTCTATGTTACGGAAAACAAGCATCAGAAATGTTAATATACTTACTATAAATCACCTCTACATATACCACGAGAATCTAATTCTACTAATTGTTACTGTTAGAAGGACTGTTAGAAGGCTGTCCTCTCCCAAGAGGAAAAGCACACTGTCCCCCAAACTAATGTTACAGAATTAAATCACATCAGATCTCCGTCTATACCTGACCACAGTTCCCTCCTCCTTATTTCCCATTGCAAGTTTAAGTCTTAACCAAAAGGACCTGGGATCTAGGAACTGAGTTAGAAACTCAGGCCTGAAGCTTCATCAGGGTTAGGGCAGAAAGCACAAAATATGAGGTGAAGTATGTCTTCTCCCTTGAACGTAGTCTTGGATTACAGAAACAGTAGAGGTAGACTGTTAGAAGGCTGTCCTCTCCCAACAGGAAAAGCACACTGTCCCCCAAACTAATGTACCAGGTTTCCCATGCCTCAGGCAGGCATGATAGTCTGAAAGTGTACATTTCACAGGCCCACAGAGAGAGAAACTGCTCTGCCTGGATTCCAGCCTTTTAAGAATACTGTGACAACTAAATCCAAGTCCAGAAGAACCAGCAAAGAAAAACAGCAACCAGTCCAAATAAGCTGTGCATGACGGGGGCGGGGCGGGGAGAGATCTGGCAGTCCAGCTTTATCAGTGAAATCAATTAGTGAAGGAGATGGAAGTCTAAATTTTAAAAATAAGGACTTAAAGACTTCTAAGTCCCTAGACTTCATTAAGTTAAAATATGTTACGTTCTAACTAAAAAATTTCAATAGAGGACAATCCTATTGAGATTTACTTTAGTGATTTAAAAATCAAACACAAAAAACATTCCAAATCACATAGGTGCAAACAGGAATTCCAGAAGAAAAGGAATAAAGAGGGCCAGGCATGGTGGCTCATGCGTAATCCCAGCACTTTGGGAGGCCGAGGCAGGTGGATCACTTGAGGTCAGAGGTTTGAGACTAGTCTGGCCAACACGGTGAAACCCTGCCTCTACTAAAAATACAAAAATGAATCGGGCATGGTAGGGCATGCATGTAATCACAGCTACTTGGGAAGCTGAGGCAGGAGAATTGCTTGTACCCGGGAAGTGGAGGTTGCAGTGAGCCCAGATCACACCACTGCACTCCAGCCTGGATGATAGAGCAAGACTCCAACTCAAAAAAAAAAAAAAAAAAAAAAAAAAAAAAAAAAAAAACGAAAAGGAATAAAGAGACCATAAAAAACTAGAAGAATATATTTTTCTCAGATTAAGGCTGAGTCTATAAATTGACAGGGCTTGACAAAGGCACCACAGTCTGGTAAAATTTTTTTTTTGAGACAGTCTCACTCTGTTGCCCAGGCTGAACACAGCTCACTGCAGCCTTGGCCTCTTCTTGACTCAAGCAATCCTCTCACCTTAGCCCCTTAAGTAGATTGGGAGCACAGTTGTGCGCCATCACATCAGGCTAATTTTTACTTTTATTTTTTTGTAGAGACAAGGTCTTGCCATATTGCCCTGGCTGGTAAAATTTCTGAATCTTTTAAGTGAAAACATGATATGCTAACATACTTCCCACACTCTCCCCAAACTTCCTAATAACAATATTAGTCATCATCACATTGACACTGACTTCTACTAAGTTATCATAGAACTAATGGAAGTAAACAAACTATGTTATTGGGCCTAAAATAATACAGAAATTAGATAAGCATTTAGAGGCCAGGCACGGTGGCTCACACCTGTAATCCCAGCACTCCAGGAAGCCGAGATGGGCGAATCAGTGGGGCCAGGAGCTCGAGACCAGCCTGGTCAACATGGTGAAACCCCCATCTCTACTAAAAAAAAAAAAAAAAAAAAAAACTAGCCGAAGCATGGTAGTGCACATCTGTTATTCCCAGCTACTTGGGAGGCTGAGGCAGGGGAATCACTTGAACCCGGGAGGTGGAGGTTGAAGTGAGCCGGGATCATACCACTGCACTCCAGCCTGGCCTACAGAGTGAGACCCTGTCTCAAAAAACAAACAACAACAACAAAAATAAATTAGAAATAAGCATTTAGAAACTTATTTATAACAATTCAAGAGATAATTTGTTTGCTGAATTTAAAAATAAAACAATTAGAGCCAGGTGTGGTGGCTCATGCCTGTAATCCCAATACTGTGGGAGGCCAAGGAGGGAGGATTGTTTGAACTCAGGAGTTCAAGACCAATCTGGAAAAGATGGAGATAACCTATCTCTAAAAAATTATAGCTTGTATTTTTTTTTTTTTTTTGAGACAGAGTTTCCCTCTTATTACCCAGGCTGGAGTGCAATGGCGAGATCTCGGCTCACCGCAACCTCCGCCTCCTGGGATCAGGCAATTCTCCTGCCTCAGCCTCCTGAGTAGCTGGGATTACAGGCATGTGCCACCATGCCCCGCTAATTTTTTGTATTTTTTTTTTTTTAGTAGAGATGGGGTTTCACCATGTTGACCAGGATGGTCTCGATCTCTTGACCTCGTGATCCACCCGCCTCAGCCTCCCAAAGTGCTGGGATTACAGGCTTGAGTCACCGCGCCCGGCATAGCTTGTATTTTAAGTGACTTCATTTTTTAAAAATTTCATTTCTTTCATAATTCATTTTTACTGTATTCAAGAGTGTCCACAAGAGTGGGTGGTGGGAATGGCTCTTTACTACTGTTTGAGAAGCATTAGCTAAGAAACTATAGAGTAGCACAATAGTTCTCAAAATAGACTGGGGGAGTGGGGAAAGAGTTGAGATGTTTCTCTCCATTTTTGGTTGTTCTCACCAAGCTGAGTGCTACTTACTGGCCTATAATGAATATGAAGCCAGGAATGCTGCCAAACACTATATAATAACAACAATAATAACAGCCTTCCCAACCCCCAAGAATTGTCTGATCCAAATGTCAGTTGACAAACTCTGGAATGGAATGTAAAAATTATCAAAAGAAATCCTACAATGAGCCAGGCACAGTAGCTCATTCCTGGAATCCCAGCACTTTGTGAGGCCAAGGCAGGAGGATCACTTGAGCTCAGGAATTCAAGACCAGCTTGGGCAACATAGTGTGACCCCATCTCTAAACAACAAACAAAAGTATTAGCCAGGTATGGTGGTGGGTGCCTGTAGTCCCAGGTACTCGGGAGCCCGAGGTAGGAGGATCACTTGAGCTTGGGAGGTAGAGGCTCCAGTGAGCTGTGACTGTAGCACTGCATTCCAGCCTGGGTTACAGAATGAAACCCTGAGGGAAGGGAAAGGGGAAAGGGTCCTACAATCAACACAATCAACAAGATACCCTTCACCTGACAAAATGAAAGCAAACTATTTGAAGAAATTATTCATAAGATATCACTTTTATACCCCATCAGGGAAAAACACTTGAGAAAAGGCTACAAGCAAACAACAAATGACCTCATAAGGTCATGTGTCACTTATTATCATTCCTATGCTTACACACACAGAAACTTGAAGATTAGAAGTATCTCATCAAAGTTACAAAGCAAAACCTAACAACGCAAATATGTAAAACAAAAAATTGTGCAATTCAACGTCTACTTTCCCTTCTGGCAAACTAAGGACATGCTTAACATTCCACAGTAAGTTCACCCAACAATAAGCTCAACCCTAGATACTTTCCAAAATATGCATCTTCTCCTTGTACCCTTATGGGAATACTCTTAAAAAGTTAGAAGGAGCCTGGGGAGAAATGCCAAATGTGGGTGAAGGGGAGAAGAAAAGCAAAGCACACTGCCATGTGTGTACCTACGCAACTGTCTTGCATGCTCTGCTCATGTACCCCAAAACCTATAATCCAATAAAAAATTTAAAAAAAGAAAAAAAAAGAAAAAATAAATAAATAAATAAAATAAAAAATAAAAATAAGCTGTTTACAATAAAAAAAAAAGTTAGAAGGAAACGTTCTTATCTCTGCTTTACAGATCTATGTCTAAGAAGTCAAGCTGCACATATTCATACAGCTAATTTTCTCTAAGTCTGACTGCAGAGATGTTATTCCTGCTACAACATGGGTAAAATCCACTTTCATCGTTTCAATTTTCTATCTTCTAAGTGCCTATCATTCCCGAATCGCATCTCTAATTTTGGTATTCTTCCTGAACCCCAAATCTATACACTGTATTCAACAGTTCTCATCTCCCTTATAAGTTCTACGAACTCATCCAAAAAAATTAACACATAATCTCATACCAAAACTTGTTCCTTCTTTAATCCCTTTCATTTTTTTCACTGATTAGTGAATGCATATTGTCCACTGACTCGCAGAAGACAGTCATTACACAAACAGCTGTGGAATACCACCTGCCATAAATTCTCCATTCCAGTACCATCGGGTGACACGAGAGAATATGATAGCGTCTGACATGATCAGAAAGACTGGGGAACGCAACAGTAAGAAAACACTACAGTCCGAGCAGAGGTCTTGTCGTGGGCGGGAGCAACGTTGTCCCATTACAGTGATGACTGACAGGCCAAAGGTTAGTAGGTTCGCTGTCTCGTCAGTGTATGTTCTTAAGAACAATCCATAAAGCTGCCTAACGAAGTGTTAGCACTATCATCGTTTGTAGGTGGGAAGCAAACTTTCAAGATTATGACTACTCTTTGCCCTCTTTTGGTGGACATTTTGTCTAAGGAGCTAAGACGGCTACTTGCGCCCGGGGCGGGCAGGCCTAGCCGAAAACCTCTCCCGCGCGCCTGACCTTGGGATGCCCCAGCCAGGATGCGGGCCCGAGACCTCCCAGCCTCCCTGCCTCCCGCGCGGCCCCGATTTGCCCCCTGGGAAGGTATCAGTCTTATTTCTAGGTTTAAGGCAAACTCCAAGGTCTAGAAGCGTAGAGGTCAGCTGTGACCCCGGGCCAGGCCGTAAATGTCCCCAGGACACAGAGCTGCTCTCTCCTTCTAGTAGAGCAAAGGTGAGAGGCAGCCCAGCCCTCGTGAAGAAACCCAGATCTGGAGTCCCAAGAGGCCACGCTGATCTAGCTACCCTCCCAGTCACCTTGCACTCAGTACCGAGTTGCCAAAGCCGCCGCAGCCACCACCACCACCGTCCTACTTCCGGCTCTGGCTCCGCCCCCACACGCCTACCCGCCATCGCAATGCATTATGGGCCGCCGTTTCAGTCGGTCGACGCTCACCGGACAGGAAGCGTCTCGGAGACAAGTCTGCGACCGGACGGCTCTAGGTGAGACAGAAGCCAAACAGGAGGAGGAAGTAGAGGGTAAGTGCTTCCGGGTCCCGTGGCGAAGACTCCGCCATCTTTTCTTCGCCTAATTTGACCCGTTCTCTTTCCCTCCTTGAAACCTTGCTCTGTACGCATGCGCACTTTGTCTAACCTGTCCCCTAGTTCAAGCTGTCTTTCGACTCAGCGTCCTGTTCCTTAGGGTTATCGAGGTGTATAATGGTACAGGGAAAGTGAGACTGTGTAAAACAAAGCGGATTGGGGCGTTGTGCTTCCTTGTGCCTCGTGAGCCTCCGTTGCCTTGGGCGTTTGTTTCGCGCACCCTGCTGGGAGTTGTAGTCCTGGACCTGGAGGTGCCTGGGAGGCGGGAGGGGGGTTGGGGCTTCTCAGCGCCGATTCCGCGGGAAGGGCCCTAGGGCCTCACACTTCTAGTCGCGGGAGCTGAAGGTCTTACCCGGAGAGACGCAGCACGTGGAGCCTGTGCCGCTGCCATTCTCAGCCGGCTCTGGAGCGCGGGCGGGGGCCACAGGGCCGATTCCGGAGCTGGTGAGTGCGGCCGCCGGGGAGGAGGGGAGCGTGGGCCCGCGCGGGCCGGCCTCGTTCCGGGGCCTTTTCGCCCACAGCGGCCCCCCCGCGGCCGCCTCTGTGTTTTGTTTCCGCTGGTCCCCGGCGCTGTGACTCCCATTTCCGTTCGTGGAGACTTGAAGGAGCCGGGTGGGGAGGGGCGGGAGAGGCTGTGCGGGGAGCAAAGGGGAGGGGCGGGGGGCGAGCGGCCGGGAGCCTCGGGGAACCGCGCGTCCCCGGTACCCGCGCTGGACGGGTCGCCTGTCACCTCTCCCTCCCTTCCCAGTCCCCTCCTCCCGCCAGTCTGCATTCCGCGGCAGTCTCAGCCTGCTCAGCTGGGATGTGGTCCTGACACCCCCGGGATTTTAAGAGCAAGATGCAGAGCCTGTCTCATCGCGGGACTCAGCGATTCACTCACTTCAAATCCACTCTTTCTAGAACGACACAGTTACAACAAAATCATTTGTCAGTCTTTATGGTATCCGTCAGGGTTTGTGTTTTGTTTTTAAGCGAGGAAGTAAACCAGGGAAATAACAGGGTAAAGTAGCTTCCCTACTTTTTAAAGTGCCTTGTGTGCTAGAAGACACGCCGGGTGTGCGTGTTCGGATTTAGGGACCCCAGTTTGATCAGATTAGCGGCCGAGAGGACAGTGCCTAATACTGTATTCCAAGATGATTAGAAATTTAGAAATAAAATTCACTTCATAAGTAGTTTCCACTAATACACGTAGGTCTTACTCTTGAGAGGAGCAAAGATTTAGCAGGATTCCCTTGAGCGAATTGCAGAACAGGGCGGTGATAACATTCTTAGGTAGTGTTATCTGGAACTTCAGAAGGAACTGCTCAGCTCTTTAGCAACTGCTTAAGGGACTAGCCTGTCTCTCAGGGTTCCATCCAGACTTTCCAGGCTTCTTTATATTTAGACATACACTGACGCTGGGTGGACTTAAATCAGTTCTACCTGAATTGTGTATACAGGAGCATCTGTCATGACGCATGTATAGTATTGAAGTAATTAAATCCTGAGCTAGATGTTAGGCTGAAGCAAGTCATAGGACCGAGTACTAAATTAAAACGGTTGACTTTACCCTTCCCTCAACTCTTTATATGTAAAACTGCAAACCTACAGAAAAATTCAGGGAAAAAAATCATACAGCGAACACCCATATACCCTTCACCTGGGGGGTCTCAACTGTTAATCTTTCACTCTGTGTGCTTTCTCTCTTTAAATTACATAGATGTATATGCTTTGCTTTTTCTTAGCTGCTACCTTTATTTTTGAAAATAAAAATGTCTTTTAATTTCCGTCGTACTGAAAAGCATCTGATAACTTGGGAAAATGTGCAGTTAATCTCGCAGGTACCCCCACACTCCACTTAGTTTTATAATTACAATATATTGGGAGGAAAAAAGCTCTGTAATTAATGCACTCCAGTGAATCCTCAAATAGGTTGACAACCCTCAAATTTATCTGTAGTTTCAAACAGGAATGTTCCACCTATCAGTATTTTAAAAGACACAAGCTGTTCCCAGAACTTTTCGTTAAATTCAACTTCAGTTTGTATTCCATCTTGTGAAACGTTCCGAACTCGGTTGGATGGAATCTAGCAGTACCAAAGTGTCAATGAAAGTATATGAAGTTGCTCTATGCAATTCTGACGGGGGCAGCCTTTAGATGGAGAGACTGCAAGTAATTTTCTCTCAATTTTCCTAAGTATTGACATACAAACCTGGGGAATTGGTTTCAGAAAAAGATAAGACTCACTCAAAAACTGTCATGAAAAATTTGGACTGTTTCTCAAATCTCTGTTTTGCTTCTCTAGACTAAGCATAGAGAGCCGAGAGAGAAAAAGATCATTTAAGAGATTGGGTAATATTTTTTGAAAGATCATTTAAGAAACTGAGTAATATTTTTTTTTTTCTCCAAAAGGGCATGGGTTTTTGTTTGGTTTGGTTTGGTTTTTTCTCTGGCACTTTCTAGGGAATGGTCTATAATTTTTTTGAAAGGTCATAGGACAAATTTCTTTTTAACAACTTATTTTAGTGTTTATATTAGGGGTGCTGTTTTATAATCTTTAAAAAATTGGGAGTAGACCTCCTTATAAGTCCTGAAAATAAATGATTTTTTAAGTGCTGCTCTGCTGTAAACCTGATTCTCACTTTTTTCTGTGTAATTTCTCACATTATTTCCTTGTAACCAATACAAATATGTTTTTTCCATGTTTTTTTTTATTAATATTTGTTTAACATAGACACTTGGATTGGCACTAGCTTCCAGCTGTCACCCACAAAGCTGCCCTGAACATGATCAATCAATCTTAACCAATTTGAGAAATTTTCTGGACTGCTTAGTTAAGGATGAAATCGCTGGCTTATAGATAAAAGAATGATACTTTTCTCCAGAATATCTACACAGACAAAGGAATCTTTATGTCCCTGCTGACTGCTCTGGTTATTTAACTTTCTAACATTCTGTGTGTGGCAGGGTGTTGTCCCCCACCCCCTGCCACACATACGGTATAAAGTTGTAGTTTCTTGTTTTAAATTGCCCTTTTAAATGATTTGAATTTGGGCATTTCTTTGTATCCTGCATTATTTTGGTTTCCCTTTATGTGAATATCCTTTTCCTGTGCTTTGCCTACGTTTTTAATTTGTCCCCTTTTTTGGTTATCAAATTCCAAGCCTTCCATTGTCACTTTTGGGTATTAGAAATATCTTCCCATTCTGTAGCCTATCTGTTGAACATAAATCTTGATTTTTGTATAATCACATCCGTCAGTTTTCCCCTTACGGTTATGTTCTTGGAATTTAAGAAATCCTTTTCTGTCCTGAGACCACAAAAACGTCTTCACCATTTTCTTCTGTTAGTTTTATAGTTTTTGCCTTTTATGTTTAATCCTTTAAGGCACCTGTAGTTCATTTTATTTGGTGTGAAATAGTTTATTTACTAATTTATTCAACACATATTGGTGGAGTGCCCGCTCAGGGTAGCACCGTTCAGAGTACTTTGTATATATCTGTGAACACATATTCCTGCGCTTGTGAAGCTTATGTTGTCCTTCAAGGTAGATCCCTACTGGGTCTACCCCAGCATTAGCAAGAAAAAAAAAAAGAGTTTCTTCATTTTTTCATCATCCCCAAAAGAAGCCTCCTGGAGCTTGCGCAGTCGGCTAGATAGGCATGTGACCAGAGCCTGCACAGTCTGTTAGATCGGCATGTGAACAGAGTCTGCGCAGTCCTCTAGGTAGGCATGTTAACAGAGCCTGCGCAGTCAACTCGATACGCATGTTTTCATCCCAGTGGACAATATTACCCTTTCATTGTTTGTCCTTAAAGGCTGTTGTACTGGTATATGCAATACAGAGCCTATATTTAAACAACCATGGTTCATCCCCATTTGGAATGTTCATCCCCATTTGGGAATTAAGGTTGCTGAGAGCAACCTTAATTATGTGGGAAAAATTAGACCATTTTGAATCAGGCAGTCTAGATTTGGGTGCCAGCTATTTGTCAGAAAACCAGCTACCCCATAGTTGAAGATACTGAGAACTGAGGAGAGTTATAGCGCTTTCTGAAGTGGGAAGTGAGAGTTTCTTAATGCTAGTGTAACAAATTATGCAAATTTAGTGGCTTAAAAACACCACCAGTTTGTTATCTTACAGTTTTGGAAGTCAGAAATGTGAAATAGGTCTCTAGGCTAAAATGAGGTGTTGCCAGTGCTGTTTTTCTAGAGCCTTAGAAGGGGAATCTCTGTTCCTTGTCTAGCTTTCAGAAGCTACCTGCATTCCTTAGCTTATAGCTCCTTGCCACCATCTTCAAAGCCAGTTGCAGCTGACCACGCTAGTCCTCACATTGAATCACTCTGGCTCTCTCTTCCAGTTTCCTCTTCTACTTTTAAGGACCTTTGTGGTTTCACTGGATCCACCTAGATTAAATCCCGAATAATTTCTGTTTTAAGGTCAGTTGATTAGTAACCTTAGTTCCATCTGCAACCGTAATTCCCCTTTGCTGTATAACTTAATATATAGTCACAGGTTCTGGGTGGTTATTCTGCCTACTACAAAGAGGTAAGGGATTTAGCCAAGAGGTTATCTGGGGGAAGTCGGTTCCAGTGGACTGAACAGTGAGAGCAGAGCCACAAGGCAGAAAGATGTGAGGACAAGCAGGGGGGCCATGTGGGAGAGGGAATCACATTGATAGTGGGGTTGGGATGGGGGTAGATCTAGTAGAGCCTCATGGTCTTTGTGAAGTATTTGGATTTTGTGACTGGCATATCAAAGGAGTGCTATTATCTACCTTCAGTTTTTAACTTTTTGGAAACCACAGTGCTAGTGAGGATAGCTTCAATTTTTATTTTTTATTTATTTATTTTAAGAGATGATCTCACTTTTGCTCTGGAGGGAGTGCAGTGGCATGATCATTATTCACTGCAGCCTTGACTCCTGGTCTCAAGTGATCTTCCCACTTTAGTCTCCCTAGTAGCTGGGAATACAGGTGCATACCACCATGCCTGGCTAATTTTAAAAAAATGTTTTTATAGGAGACAGGTTCTTTTGATGTTGCCCAGTCTGGTCT